CCTGTTCCGTTCGGAGAAGAAGTGCTCTGCGTGCTCTGCAGTGTGAGCCCGGCACACACAAGCTGTGCCCATGGCTCCTCGCACCGTGGGCTCCCAGGGCTGTGCGCTGGCAGAACCCCGGCCCAGCAGTCCCTGACCTGGTACTGAAACAATGGGAGGAAACAAAGCACAGAGATGATGGCGGCGGCCGTTCGCTCTGTGCCACTGAGCCCCACGCATGCACCTCTCCCTGCAGCCCCATGCACACGCTGGCCTCAGCCAAGCCCTAATCAGAACAAGATCAGCTCACACTCCAATTACTCAGAGACCGCAGCTTTGGCAACGCTTGGGATAGCAATTACCCCGTGCTCCAGGAAACCACAAGAGCAAAGAGGAATTAAGGTTTCATTTCTCTAAGTCCACAAGAGCGCAATGTGTCACAGCAGGGCTGCTCAGACACCGGGCCGATGGGAGGGACGGCGCAGTGACCCCAACCGAGTGAGGATCAGAGCTCATCCCCTCCATCCACAGACGTGGTTTGTGGCTGAGTGAAGCGGCGCACCTGGGGGAGCGATGAGGGACACAGACACCAGCGCCCGCATCGCCGCCTGCAGACCTCTGCGACAGCAAGGCCACGCTGTGTTTGCATCCCCTGAGAGCAAGCCTGTGTCTGGAGATGCAATTCCCAGACATTTTCAAGTATGCTCCTTTCTCATCGCTCTTCCAATGACAGAACTCCAGATGGGCTCAGAGGCTGCACTTGGACCCATCCAGAGCCACGGCTGGATGCACGGCAGCACTAGGTGGCATCAGCTCTGCACAATCTCTGCTGATGGACATCACTGCACATCACAGCGCTGGAATTCACCGCAGACCAACCGGGGTGGGGAGTGCCATCGGGGGTGGCCACCACCTCTCAAAAGAAGGAGCGTTCTTCACAAGGACTCCGTCACGTTGCTCACAGTGGCAATTCATAGCACAGGATGGGGAGCCTCTGAGCCCCAAGCTGAGCCCTGAGCTGAGCCTTGAGCTGAGCCTTGAGCTGAGCCCGTGGCTCTTTGGGCCTTACACCACTCATTTTGTAGCTGAAAGCATCGCATGCTCTGAGCTAGGAGCTCAGAGCTTTCCCTGTGGTAAAGCAGCCTTTGTTGCTGCAGAGACAGCGGAAACCAAATGGAAGTTATTCTTGGATAATTTATTCAGAATTTTAATATAAACTGTCAATTGCTCAACATTCTGTCACACAGCAAGGGTGTTCTCTTCATACTCAATGTTATTTTCTGTACACGTCACTGCTCAGCTCTTCCATACGAAAGCGATAAAATAAAGGGGAGGCTTTGAGGGTTTTTTCTGTTTTTCTTTTTAATCACGGCACATTTGATCCTTTATTTCATACAAGACGGGTCTGCAATGCGAACTGCAATACAGTCTGCATGCTGTGAGCTCAGACAGGCGGTGAGGAAGGTGGGAGCAGCACAGCGAAGCTCTGCCACAGCACTCAGGGCGCTTTCGGCTGCGTTGGACTCCGCCGCCCCACAAACAGCAGCACTTTGCAAACGACACCAAAATGCAGCGTTTTCATCACGGCTCACCTTTTTCAAACAGCCTGAGAGTCGTCAGCGGCTGCTTTGCAGGTGATGGGAGAAGCGTTTGGAAACAACGGTGGTTTGAAGAGACTTTCAGGGACAGTTTGGAGGCTTTGGGAAGAGGCCCGGCTCAGAATGCTGGGCAACACAGAGCCCAATGAGCGCCAGCGCTGGGGCTGCAAACCCACCCAGTGCTGCACAGTGGGAGCCGTCAGGGGGTCAGCAGAGCTTTGCTGAGCCCCCACCCTGTGCTGCAGCCCTGCGCGTAGGCAAAAAACGTGACCATGCTGTAGGAGTTGATACTAACTTTATTATACAAGATTTTAAAAGTCATTTCTCGACCCGTCCCCCTATCGCTTGCATTGTGCTGCAGTTATTTTGCTGAACCTGCGAGAGTAAGTGCTTACTTTTGAGAAGGACAAGCAATTTAACTGTAAAAAGAAATGCACACTGAACGACAGCAGATCTGGTAAAACCGGCAGCTCCCAAATTGCATTGAAAAGTCCCATTCCTCCACACGTCCGTCTGAGCGGAGCCACCGCAGAGCAAGCAGAAGGTGATAAAAAGGCCAAATTAATTCAGTTCATACGGATGCTGAACGAATCCTGCTTTGAATTTCACATACTTCTGAAGTCGCTTCCAACCCATCCGAGAGCCTCTTCCCCCGGCGCACAGCGGGGTGCTGGGGCACAATGCATCCTCCTCTCTGCGAGAGGCCAGGCTCACTACTGGGTGTCACTGCTGGCACTGACAGCCCTGGAGGACCTCAGGGTCCGGATCCGCATCGCAGCCATGTTCAGGGAACCCATGGGCTCTCTGCCACCCCTACCATGGGGGCTTGGAGATAACTGCCACAGCCCCTTCCTGCTCCTCTTTGCCATTCTCCTTCATCACCCTTCAGTCAGTAACACAGTAAGCAACATTTTCCAAAGAGATATCAACATTAAACGCAACAAAAGTAAAATTAAGCAAAGTGCCCCATTACTATAATACAAATTTAGGAGGAAAGAGATCTACTACCCACCAATTTCGAGTACCCTACAGCAACCATCGAGCAGCCTCTTCCCTACGCACGCAGCACAGCACGCCCTCCTCGCAGCTTGGTCTATTTCCTACCACGTTTCCCCACCCAGAGCTGGCACACAGTTTGCAATATCACACAATGAGCTCTTCTATTTTACAACACAATCAGTATTTACAAGCAGCCACGCTGGGCTTTTAGCCTCGCAGACAAGCTTTGCAATGCTGCACTGTACGGCAAGAGAAGAACCGGGTTTGCAAGAGGCATCTGGGAGACGGGCAGTGAATGGAACAAATGTTTCTGGGACCTCTGCAGCCCCCACAACAACACCTGCTGACAGCACACAGCAAAGCAGTGCCGCGGCTTCCTGCTCTGTGGGCTTTCAAAGCCGCGATGCTGCGGCTGCTCGGGGCACCTCTTGCAGCTCCCACAGGGCTGCGGCTGCTCCCCAGTGCGTGCAGCTCTGTGCTGGGACAGCAGCGGAGCACCCTGCACCATGCTGAGCTGCCCTGCAGGGAGGGCCTCATGTGGCAGCTGGTTGCAGAGGGTTTTCCCGAACTCCGAGCTGGGCTCTATGATGACGTCCCTTTGCTCTTCCTAATCCCGCAGCTGAGCATCATCTTTTACAGCCAACGAGTGGCAGTTGGGGCTGTTTGTTTCCATCAGGGCGGAGCGCTGCGGCTGAGGACATCCTCCCTTGGCTGCCCCGCACCGCTCCTGGCCAGGAGCAACGCAGGAAGGACAGCAGTGGGGCTGCCGTGCACAGCGCTGGATCCAACCACTGCTGCTCTCAGTGAGGACGACTGCAAGGCCCAAGGCCCAACACACAGCCCCACACCGGGCGACTGCAGCGCTGCGTGTGCCCACAGAGCCAACAGGCATCAGCCGAGCTGAGGAGCCAGAGCCAGCACAGGCCCGGTGCAAACAGCGCTCTGTTCCTGCAGTTACAGCCACTGCGGTTTAAGATGTCAGAACAACGGGGAGGGCTCACTGCAGGCGGCCGCCGCCTGCCCCTCTGTTCACAACGTCCATTTCAATGGGTCTGTTTTAGTGTTTGTTTTCTTTTCCAATCACAACAGAACTAAGATGATATCAGAGTATCAGATCCAAATTTGCTGCTGCGCATTCGGAGCTGGAAGCAGTTTCCTTTGGTCACTACGACTAACAGCAGCGATCAGCAGTGATGGAGCTGCTCCATCCGCTCCCTTCCGGCCCCAGAATTGGGATCAGCTGATACTGCTTTCGCCGACCCTCAACAGGTCCAGCCCACAACATCAGAACAGGTTTTGAGGTGCGCCGTATTAAAAATAGCCTTAAGAAACACTGAGGTAGACTGCACCACAACAGGACAAAACGACCCCGCCGCACCCACCTGCCCCAATTTCACGGATACAAATTTACAGATTCTGCGTGTTTTCTTCAGCAAATTGATTTCGCTTTTTTTTTTTTTTTTTTTTTTTTTTAACAGTGTTCTATATATTAAAATAAATAAAAAAATTCTAGTAAGAAAAACTTCTCTTCCTTAGAAAAGTGTGAGAATATGTCTTCTTTCCTGCAGTGTAGCACAGAGCTGCTGGGTAACAGTGACTACGTGGTAAAGCAGAAGAAATGTAAACGAGGCCTTTGGAAAGCAGAGGCTGCCCCACACACGGCTGCTCGCAGTGCCCCAACCCCACGGCGTCCTGCTGGCACAGCGGGGCTCTGGGCTCCCTGCTGGTAACCTCTGCATTTCGCTCTCAGCATCTCCCTGCTCCCTCATCAGAGTGAGACGCGTTTCGTTTCGCGGTTATTTTCCGACGCTTTGTGCTTATCAGCCTTCATGCAAACAGCAGCAGAACAAAGCTCGGTCCATACGGACCAAAGTCGACGTTCCCCACCAACGCACGGCTGGGGAAACGTGTGGCCGGGG